CTATATAAAAAAAAAAGGTATCTACAACTGTAGAAACTTGTTAGAAAAAAAATAATCTGGGAGGAAAAAAAAAAAAGTTTGTTCTCTCAGAGCATAAAGACTATGTACATCTCCAAAAGGACAAGAGGGGAAAAAACTAAGGCTTGCTGGGAGAGTGGGTATATCAAAACTATATATGGCAGACAGCCATATCAACCAATCACCTTAACTATTCAGTCTTTTCAGTTAGCTTTAACAATGAAAGAGAGAACCTGACTGGTTACGATGGCAAACTATTCTAGATTTTGGCTGCTCCAGATTTGATAAATTCCCCCCAGTGTTTCTGAATATCATCCTTTGTGCTGTAATGTACAGTAAAGAAATGCAAAAGCATCACACCGACAGTCAAGCCAATAGCATTTTCAGATGTCAGCAATGGCAGCCTAAAAGTTTCCCTCATGACAGGTTTCCCTGATTCATAATTTCACTATAAACTAAATACAGGTGAAACTCAAATAATTTGAATATCGTGCAAAAGTTCATTTATTTCACTAATGCAACTTAAAAGGTCAAACTAATATATGAGATAGACTCATTACATGCAAAGCAAGATAGTTCAAGCCGTGATTTGTCATAATTGTGATGATTATGGCTTACAGCTCATGAAAACCCCAAATCCACAATCTCAGAAAATGAGAATATTGTGAAAAGGTGCAATATTCTAGGCTCAAAGTGTCCCACTCTAATCAGCTAATTAAGCCATAACACCTGCAAAGGGTTCCTGAGCCTTTAACCCCTTCATGACTGAGGCCTTTTTTTCATTTTTTGTACCCATGTTATATTCCACATTTTAGGCCTGAAAATTACTTAAAACCCCCCAACATTATATATTTTCTGAATGCCAAGACCCTATAGAATAAAATGGTGGTAGTTGCAAATTTTTATGTTGCGCAATATTAGCGCAACTCCTTATTAAACCCCAATATTTAGTGAAAAATTTAATTAAATGCCCCAAAACACAACAAAATACCCATTTTTTTAATGAAATATAAAAGATGAGGTTACGACGAGTAAAACGATACCCAACATGCCCAGGTTACAAATTGCGTGCGAACCAGAATAGGAGCTCCTTACCCTAGATCAGGGATAGACGGGATGATCAGGTGACCGAGTGACGGGGGGGCGTGTCCGGAAGCTGATGGCGGCTGAGTGCGTCTAGCACGAACAGCTACGCGCCACCCGCCCACACACTGCCCACACATACTGGCTTCTAAACGGCCTGGAGACGGCACCTACTCGGCGGATCCAGCGGCAGTCGCTTGCAGAGACCTGACCGCAAAGATGAATCGGAAGAAGACTGGGAAACAGGGGGCGCTGAAAGTTCCAGCTATGAGCCCGCTGCAACGTTACTTGTCGGCTGAGACTCTGAGCAGAGTACAGGGGTCAGCGGCTCGTACAAGTCTCTCCCCCGGGCAATCTCCACGCCAGAAGTCAATGGATTCTTCAGCTCTTGGGCAGGAGCAAGGGGGTGAGTTGGACCATTCCATATTATTACCGATAGAGGAAATGGTGAAAACCCTCCCTACAAAAAACGAGCTAATCGATATGTTTGCTCACCTGGAACAATCAATGAAATCTGATATGGAAGCTATAAGGGGTGAGATGAAACAACTGTTAAACAGAGTGGAAGAAGGGGAGTCAAGACTAGATTCTCAGTCAGTGGCAATTAGGACCCTCCAGGCGCAGATATACTCCATAAATAAGACCCAAAGGGCTACCTCTTATCGCTTAGAAGATCAGGAAAACAGGGGCCGCAGGAATAATATGAGGGTCCGGGGGCTGCCTGAGGCGATAACGGATCTGGAATTGACAGAGGCATTAAGGAATATGTTTAATAAAGTAACGGGACAAATACCAGCTACCCCAATCAAGTTTGACCTCATACATCGGGTACCGCGTCCACGCAGCATGGCAGCTGAGATCCCACGGGACGTATTATGTCGTTTCCATCATCATATAGAGAAAGAGAACATAATGCGGAAACTGCGGGAGCAACCACCGGTGGAGTTTGATGGAACACGGCTGCAGATCTTCCCGGATCTGGCCCGAGAGACTCTTGCACGCCGCAGGGCCATGCGTCCACTTTTGGAAATCCTTCAAGCTGCAGGTATCCCTTATAGGTGGGGATTTCCGACCTGCCTAATAGCACAGACTCAAATTACTCAAGGGGGGTGGCGATCGGCATTCATAAAAATGTTAATTTTAAATGTACGTCCAGTGATAGACCAAGATGGGAGATACCTTTTTGTTAAAGGAACAATAGATAATCAGGTAGTGACACTGGCCTCAATATATGCCCCTAATAAGAAAACGATAATGTTCCTCGGTAAAACGCTACGGCTGCTAGCGGAATACCAAGAAGGTATAGTAATAATGGCAGGAGACCTTAACGTACATATGGACCCCGCTTTTGATACATCAACAGGGCGATCCCATATAGCGGGTATGTGGAGATTAAATGAGGCCCTGATGCGATAAGAAGGTAGTGGGAGATATAACGAGAGATCTAATTAATTACTTTAATGAAAATACAAAGAAAGGTACTTTACCGGGTATGGTCTGGGAGGCACATAAGGCCACAATTAGAGGAGCTCTTATCTCACGGGGCACGTATAAAGAAGGGAAAAACGGGCAGAATAACAGAGCTCCTAACAAGGGTGGCCACACTAGAAGGGAACCATAAAAGAGCACAGACACCTCAGGTACTAGCAGAATTAACAAGAGCGAGGGTAGATCTTAAAGAGGAATTGTCTTTTAAATATCAGAGATCCCTGAATTATCTCAACCAATACTCTTATGAATTGGGAGATAGACCCGGGAAACATCTGGCGAAATTATTGAAAGCTAGGCAAAACTCAAATTTTGTGGACAAAATAAAAAACAAACAAGACGTTATGGTAAACGTGACATCAGAGATATCTAACGTCTTTAAAGATTATTATTCTAGTTTATATAATGTGAGAACTGACGCCACTACCCAAATTAAGGACCAACATATGGAGCATATCCAAAAATATTTAACTGCAACACCTCTTCCCTCTCTGTCCAAATTACATATGGATGAATTGGAATCTCCCATAAGTACGGAAGAAATACAACAGGTTATCACCGGATTGGCCACTGGGAAAAGCTCAGGACCTGACTGCTTCACGGCCTTATATTATAAAACATTCCAACATGTGCTTCTTCCCTACTTAGGCGAGTACTTTAATTCATTTATGAATGGCTCCCTCCCAAATCCATCAAACATTACATGCATATATAGCCATGTTTCCCAAACCGGGCAAAGACCCAACCATCTGCAGTAGTTATAGGCCAATCTCATTACTTAATACGGATATTAAAATCTATGCCAAAGTATTAGCAACTAGACTTAGTGGCCTACTGCCACAGGTAATAACAAATGACCAAACGGGATTTATACCTGGCAGGGAGGCGAGGGATAGTACCCAGAGGGCCTATTTACTCATTACTCCCAAATTCCATCCTGTTGTTGTCTACGGACGCAGTCCCAAACTCCAACCTTTCTGGTCACGGGTAATAGAATTGATTGAAGAGATTACAACAATTGTATTGCCCTTGGAGCCGATGGTATGTCTTTTCAATCTAACGGACTTGTGGACTGCAGCCTATAAAATATCATTATTGCGCCCACTACTTAACGCAGCTAAAATGATGATTCCACTCTATTGGAACAAAAGTATTATTCCATCTATGAGAGAGTGGTTTAAAAGAATAGATTATCGACTGATGGAGGAAATGACATCAATACGGAGGGATACGTATAAACAATTTGAAAGTACCTGGCAACAATGGATTGAGTTTAAAAAATCCTTGAGATATATGGAGGATATAGGATAGAGGGGTTGTATAGTAATAGAATAGATGGACTAGGGGTTGGGATAATACACAGTGCTATTTTGAAGTGCTCTAGAATAGGATTGTATTGAAGGAATATTAAAGGTTGCCGGAATCCCCTTATATGGTAGTGTAGTGTAAATTTTTGTATGTTTTTGTTGTTTTTTTTTCTGTGTGTTTTGTTTTTAAAAATCATTAAACTGTATTTGAAATTTGATTATAATTATAAGTATGTAACACACTGTATGTTAAAATATGTTGTTTATGGTTTTTTGTAAAAATAATAAAAATTTTATATTAAAAAAAATAAAAAATTGCGTGCATCCGTAAAACGGCGAAAAACCCCAGTACCCCAAAAAGTCCATAGAAGACGCTTTAAATTATTGTACAAATGTGAGGTTAATAAATAATTGCAATAACAAAAACAAAAAAGCACTGAGCAACTATGAATGTATGCCCATTTGAAGCTTGAATGGATATGTAAATTCAGATGAAATAAACAATTAAAGAAAAGGAATGAAACATTCTTTACATTTAATAGATAAAAGAATATTTATTGCAATTAAGGCTCATAGGAAAAGTGTATATCAATATTGAACTAATTTTGGTATGGAAAAAAGCTCAGACATTTTTTCTTCAGTAAAAATGTTGACAGACAACATCAACCAAATTAAAAAAAAAAAAAATGCAATGTAAACTGTATACCTTCTTGTTGTAGTATGGTGTTTTATATTGTGCAAACCATGGCTTAAAGCAAACTTGTAACATGAGACTCGTGGAGGCTGCACTTACCGAGCTCTTCTTTTGAAAATGATAGCTGCCTGGCTGTCATGGCTACCCTTTTGCTTTAATATTTTGAGTCAACTTGCTTGAAATAAGAGTGTACCTCAGGACTTCTGACTTTCCTTTGACTTCCCTCATCTGCAAACTTGTTGCTGGTCCCAGCTCAGTGACTCATTGTACTAAGCTTGGTGGGTCAGAACAGCCAAGCAACTAATAAGATCATCAAAAACAGTCCCCCTATTTGCCTCTTAACAGGTTAACTTTAAAATCACGGAGGACAAGGGCACATGACAAATATCAAATTGTTTTTTTTTGCTCTTGAACACAACTGGTTCCCTGCAATTTTAGGGATGATGAATTTGCAAAGAAGTAAAAAATAAATAATTTAGATAAGATGTTCAACATACTTCCGTAGTACAGATGGTCACTGAACATTCACTATACATGACATATTTACTGTATTTTAAACATCATCAAATTATAGCAACTTGTCACATCAAGTGTCAAAATGCTGAAGTTCTAAAGATGCCATCAGTCATGTGGCCTGCACCTTAAGGGACTGCGATTATATGTTTGTCCTTGCTTAATGCTTAAAGTCAAGATCCTCCATTTCTTGGGGGCTTGCTCCGGAAGTCATGCCACATTTTTACAAAAGGCTCCCTCTTTTTCCAGATGAGCTCGTGTCCGTATAAGGCGTACCAGCTGTAAATATGCAAGAAAGAAAAGATGTTTCAGTACTTGTACACCACACTACAAGCTTATGAGAAGTAAAACTCTAATCACTACAACTTGATCCTGTATATACACCAAGAAAAGGAGCGCAGATTTTCATAGATATGTAATTCACAGTTCTATGCAATTCCACTGTTCTTACTCTTTGAGAATGGGAGTCCAAGTATGGATGGAGGTACACAAAAATGATCAAAGATCTTTCTTCTCTGCTTCATTCCATGAATACTTCTATGTGGTAATTATTTTCCAATTTATTCCATAAACAGACATCTTCCTGCTAATTTATTACTATGGTGCATGTCATCTTTAAGCCACCTTTATCTTCAAGGTCCTTTATAGCCAAACCAACTTTAGTTGGATTTGCAGCTCTTACAATAAAAACAGCATTTCATTAGGAAAAAATACACTGCAGGTTGCACAACTGTCCTTGATCTCAAGCTCTTCATCTCTCAGCAAGGTACAATTGACCCGCTGACAACCAAATGTAGAAGCATCAATTAAAATGACTGACTAGAAACACACACAGGTGCACATTTACTGCAATGGTAAAGAATGTTGCGTGGTGATGAGGATGTAAAGAGGCACATTGCAGTCACAAAATGGTTAAGCAGGCAGGTCCAGCATTCCAGCTCTCATTGAGTAAAAGGTCAGGCAGCTTCAAGCATCTCAGACTAGGGTTAAACCGGCCTAGCTCTGTCAACTGTGCTTGCACAAATCAGTGCCAGAGGGGAAGAGGGATTTAATGGATACCTTGCTCTTGTCCATAATGCACACTTTGTTTATTACAGACTGCTCAACCCACTAAGGTGATCAGCTGTGGTAATGAAAAAGCTTTCAACAGTGTGCTTGATGAAGTGTCATGTCTCGAGACCTCCACATTGCAGAATGCAGCTCTATACACAGCTAGGCTTAGCTTAAATACATTTGATGAATGATTTTTTTTATGTTGTGAAACTTAAATTGACACAAAACTGAATATGAATACAAATGTATCCATACAGAGAGCATTACATACAATAAACAATTATAACAGAAAACAAGGTAGGAAAGTGCATTCACTGCAGAATTTAAAGGCAACTAAACTTTGCAGCATTCAACACATGCACAATGACAATCCTGTTAACAAGCATTGTAGCCACCTACAGATAAGTAATGTCCCTGGCTTGAGGGTTAGGAAGATGGAAGCAGGTTTTTCTCACAACGTCCTGCTGAGCTAAACCCTGCAATGCCTGCTAATGACCAGCAGATGGCAGCAACAAACTCGGTACCTACAATACACTGTCAATGTCCATATTATTATACGGCTCAACAATGATTAGCCAGGGATCGCTACAATGCAGCACTGCTTTGCCTCCTCAGCCTCTCAAAAAATGATGATTGCAGGCATGGTGAATTACATGTCCTGTGCAGGACTTAATGATTGCAGGAAATTTCTCCCATTCACCATGGCATCTGGGGTGGGTTGCGTGAAAACACAGCTTCATAAAACATATCAGCAATGATAGCACCTAAATTTCTATCCTGAAATGTTCCCTTTATTCTTGGTTACTGACCAACCGCAGCCTGCTGATTAGACAATAAAGGAAATATTGCCACAGGCGAGGTCATCGCTCTGCTCTGAGACAAGGCTAGACAGTAAAACCTGACCCATCAACATACTGTCCCTCCCTCTTCCAGTCTGACCCCAGTTGCTGAGAGATTACAAAAAGCTAAATTAAAAAACAATATTCAGGTTCTTACACTAGCTGTAGTTAAAATATACTTACTAAGCAGTAAATGACTGAATTAAATGGCTCCTTTTAAAAGGTGTATAGGGTTTAGCTTAAAAAAATGAACACGTTAGCAAGAGCAGCAAAGTGGAAGCCGGGCACACTTTCCTAAACCCTACTACATACTAAAGCAATAATGGCCAGATGAGCAGTATGAACCACTAAAATCAGCCACTAAGTCACTGTGGCCCCAGAGGAACCGGAAGCAGCTGACACTAACAGGTTCAGCATAATGAATGAAGTAAAAATGTACTGGTTAGATTTGTCTTTAATTTAAAAGCAAAACACAGTATGAAAGAAAAACCAAAGTCAAGACACAAAAGGAGGGGATGCTGGCGTCAACTACTCACATTCCAAACAGAGCTCCACCAAGATGTGCTGCATGGTCAAAAAACCTCCAGCCCAAGATCAGGCCAACTGAATCTAAGGCAAGGATAGCCTTGAGAGCCTGCAAAAGAATTCAGCCACATAATATATGAGTGAATAAGAATGCTTTTAAAATGCAATACAATGCTGCTATTACTGGGAACATTTTTCATCATTTTATTGTTTCTATTAACGTGAGCTCCAACATATTACAAGTGTTAAACCCCAACTGCACCCAAAATAGATTAAATAAGGTGCGACTGGTAGCAGTTATTGCTTCATCCTTCACTATACTGGTAAAGTTCTTCAGGACTTGGGTGAATGCATCACTCATTACATCTGTGCCTTGCATAAGCCAGTACAGTTTGGAAGACTGCTGTGTAGCAATAGGCTGGTCACACAGTGAAAATATCAGTTTGCCGGTGTTGTAAGTAGGGATGCACCGATATATCGGCCGGCGAAAACACATCGGACGAAAATGGCACTTTTGGCATAATGCTGAAAGAGCCATGTTTCGGCCGATATATATCGGCGCATCCCTGGTTTCTTTTCTCCCCGCTGGGCGCTGCTCTGTGTTCCAGCGGGGAGAAAAGAAAGTGACAGCCGGCCGAGCGCTGCAGGACGAGAGCGCTGTGAGCGGCCGGCGTCTCTCCTCCCACACCGCTCAGCCGCCTATCACGGTGCGGCAGAGCGGTGTGTGGGCGGAGACAGCCAGCACCGTCACAGGAGGCTGAGCTCTCCTCCCACAGCGCTCAGCCGCCTATCACAGTCCGGCAGAGCGGTGTGTGGGCGGAGACAGCCAGCGATGTCACAGGAGGCTGAGCTCTCCTCCTGCTGCGCTCGATCAGCCTCCTGTGACAGCGTGTCAGAGAGGAGAGCAAGGTACACACACTCAGTGATCAGTGAGTGTAGATCATTGAGGACGTGGTATGTGTACTATATCCTCAATTATAAATGAATGGGAGGTGAGTTACATCACCTCATGTTCATTCATAGTTGTAGGTATAGTAAACATACCATGTCCTCATGTTATCAATGAACAGGAACACTCAGAGGATTCCTGTTCATTGATAACAGAAAAAGGGGACATAGAAAAAGAGATAGAGGACTTTGTGTCCTAAATCTCTTTTTCTATTTTAAAAGGGAAACATCAGGGGTCTGTTTAGACCCCCAATATTTCAGCCAAAGCCCCTAAAAGCAATGTAAAAAATAAAAATATTTAATAAAAATGAATATAAAAAAATTATAAAGTTTATAAAAAATAAATAAAAATAAAATATTAAAAAGATTTTAAAAAATTTAAATAAAACATTTTCAGTTTTGGTTTTGGCCTGACAATTTTTTTATTTCGGTTTTGTTTCGGTTTTAAAATTTCCATTTCGGTGCACCTCTATTTGTGAGTGTGTAAAATATAGGCTATAAAAAGGGCCCTCTGGCCTCCATGCACAACAGCCTGACCAGTTATTAAACAGAATGCCAATCAGGTATTCATTCATAAACATGCACCTTTCAGAAGCTTTAATATACATCACAGATGTGTAACTGCGCAATCACACTAGCCTGTCCGCTGAAATACGGTGTTTCAGCGGATGGGCTATTCCGATGCGACAGATCCAGTAGTGTGCGTTTTATTGCACACCGAGCGGTTACTGTTTAAATTTTTTTCAATTTTAAGTACACTCCATTTAGCTCCCTCCCTTTTGGATTGGAAGCCCTCAGGGGCAGGGCCCTTCTTACCATCTTGTATTGTATTGTAATGTCTTCCTTATATTGTAAAGCACGGCGCACACTGTTGGTGCTATATAAATCTTGTATAAAAAATAAGTCCCTGCATGGCAAGCAGCACTGCCGTATGGCGGCCTGCTGTGGGATCCAGTGCACTGCACGTTTGCATTTTATCCCAGCGCTCTGCCTATCACACACACATTATGGTGTGAATGGGACACATAGAAAACATTTTTTTTTTCTATGTGTCCTAGTGTTGACCTTCATTGATCTGGTGCGGTACAACAAAAGGTCACTGCGAAAATGTGTGAACTTCAGATTAGTCCTTTCTCTTTCTCATTAAAACTAAAATAAAGCCAGTATAAATGGGTTTAAAAAAATAAATAAATAAATGGTACATACGTTCCCAGCGGTAAATGTGAAAATGGGAAGAAAGATGATGGCTAGTTTGGCTTCAGGCATCTTTGTACACACAGCAGCTAGAACGGTCATGATTGCACCAGACTGGAGGGGGGCAATAAGAATAACAATTTTCACACATTTGATTTGACTAAATTTGCAATAAAAATGCTAAAACCATTTACATTTAACTTGTCACAAAAAAAAAATAACTAAGCAATCCATGTATCAAATATGCATGCAGCAAAGAAGAATGGAATCTCTTACAAAATATTTGAAACTTCTAAGCATTTTACATATATTCCTTTCCTAACCCTTATTTTGTTCCTTTATAATAGAGACAATCATGTGTTTTACTGGAAGGGACAAGCCCTTAAGCAGATGAAAGGCACCAGCTGCATCCACGACCCCAAATCCCCTGGGGTTCTGACACCCCTCTATGTGCAGCTGGGGAAATCTAACAACAGACAGTATAGTGACAGCTGCTAAACCTAGCCATCTGCTTTTCATTTTCCTACCCTCCTCCTTGCCAACACATATACGGACACAGGTGCTAGCAAACAAATCAGCTAAAGTGGAGAGGGGTTTACCTTTAAGTGAATTTTATTACAGAATGACAATGAGCTTTCTTCAGAGAAACATGTAACAAGTGTACCAAGAGAGATGTACTGCCTGATGTCTACAATTAAAATGTAATCTGCATGACCTTTATCATTAAAAGCAACTACCTACTGGTTTTATACACTTAAAGTGACACTAAATTCATGGGTGATAAAATGTAATATTCATTCACGTACCCTATTAAACACAAACGTATCTTATGTGTACATCAATCAGGTGTAGATCCTCAAATCATCTCTGAATTGGTGTCGAGACTGTCCTTCCTTCTGTGTTCCCCATGTGTGTGTTGTGAAGCAGCTACCACTCCAAGCTCGCTTCCGTAATGTACACAGGGTGGCTACTTTACAACACACAGGGACCATGGTGAACAAAGGTAGTCCCTCCAGAAGGAAGGACAGCGTCGGCATGAATTCAGATATGATTTGAGGATCTACAGCCGAGTGATACACAAATAAGGTACATTTTTGTTATTAGTTAAGGTACTTGAACGTATTTAAGATTTAACTCCTGAGTTTAGTGTCACTTTAAGGCACTCTCCAAGGACAAATTAAAATGGTTGCTGCTGTTTTTTACTTGGAAACAGGGATGAACTAGCAAGCAATATACAGGTGAAACTCGATTAGAATATCGTGCAAAGTTCATTTATTTCACTAATGCAACTTAAAAGGTGAAACTAATATATGAGATAGACTCATTACATGCAAAGCAAGATAATTCAAGCCGTGATTTGTCATAATTGTGATGATTATGGCTTACAGCTCATGAAAACCCCAAGAACCCCAAATCCACAACCTCAAAAAAGTAGATTATTACATCCAATCAATAAAACAAGGATTGTACATAGAACAATATCGGACCTCTGAAAAGTACAAGCATGCATATGTACTCAGTACTTGGTTTGGGCCCCGTTTGCAGAACTTACTGCAATTACTTTTGCACGATATTCTAATTATTCGAGTTTCACCTGTAGATATCCATCTCGCCTGCATATTTGCACTACATGTTTGATGTATTTATTTTTTTACTATTAAAAGCTGTAACATGCTGGAATCTTGATTTGTTTGGATCAGCTTTTTTGTTTAGGTTTAGATATCAAACCTTTTACACGTGCAATGATCAGGGTTAAAAAGAACCAAGAAATGGTCGTAAAAAATTGAATGCAATAATTTTTTGCAGAAGCTTCAGGGCCTTAAGGTGCTTTATGACAAGCATTAATATATAGCATTCTGGGACAGATTTGGATAAACTGGGCCCTGGGCAAGAACCAAATTGTGGCCCTCCAACTCAAAAGCATGTTATAGCTTCTATTAATGTAGAGGATGGTGGGATAAATACAAAAATAAAGACGAAGTGGACGGTTTATTTACCGAAGTGTGTAAAGCAACTAAAATAGACTGTTACCACTAATTCCTTACATATATTATGTGGAGAAGATGGTGGCTATTAATCAGGGATTCCTAAAATTTGTTAACAAAGGGCCACTTCACAGTTCATCACACATACCCCTTCACTGGGGGTCAGTGGTTGTCAAAAATACCCCTACAATCACTGGTCAGCGGGAGTAAAAAAAAAAAAAAAA